ACAAGTAAAATATAGAAAAACAAATTGCATAATTCTACTGTCAACGATCTAAATCATATAGTGAAGGTCATATGTAGCCAAGGAATATCACAAGGAATTGAAGCAAAGCAAGAACAATATTGTTGATATGGATTAATAGATATAGGAGGTTTCAATAGGTTCAAATCAATCATTCAAGGGGATATCTGAGGATCTTGGCATCTCCAATTAAAGTTAGAAGCAAGAATGACACATGTTTGTTGTCGAGAATCACTTCACAGTGGGACGCCCAGATCTGTAGCAATCGAATTCTCCTTTTCTTACTATTTCTTAAACTCTTTGATGTATAATGCTACCAGCAACGAAAAGAGTAGCTCTGAAACTGAAATCGATGATTGGGAATCTTGAAACAGGGGACCGCTCTGAAATCGATGTATAGTGCTACGTGAAGTGGGTCACGATCGTGAGGATGAAAGGAAAACCATTGGATAGTTGATTTCAGGCGAGAGTACTAGATGAAACAGGTGTGGCTATGAAAATAGTAGTGGCTGTTGGATCTAGATTGACAGCGGTAGATGTTGAGGATGATGTAGAGAGAGATAGAGGGAGAGAAGAGAAGTGAAAGAAGAGAGAGAGAGGGAAGAGAATGAGAGAAAGAGAAAGAGTTTGGGGAGGTCACTGCTGCTCCAACTCCTCTATTCTCGTCATGAAGATGATGAACTCTTCAGCAGTAATGGTGAGTTTTGGAGAAGGAACAGTAGAAGGGGAGAATCTCTCGAACGGCGAACCTTTTAAGGGCAATTTTGATATTTTCATCTTTTCCCATTTACCCTCCAGCAAACCAAACAAACCCGAGTATGAGAAGGGTATCATTTACCCGGATAGGTAATACCCTTATTCTTGAAATCCGAACATGGGTAAATAAGTCAATGTATCTCATTGACCAAACTTTTCCCCTTCATTTCACAAAAAACGAACGCGCCCTAAGTTTATGAGGAATCTCAACTTGAAGTCAGATTGTCTTCTTCATATTAAATCCATATTCTTCTTTTGTACTCTTAATTTGTTTTACCCTAAACTTTGACTTGATCATGTTTATCCATGAAGTTGTTAAGTGGAAGGTAATTATGTTTTGAAAAAATGATCTTCTACAATATTAATCCATTAACAAATCCTAAACTTTACTTTGTTTCTGTTTCAACTTCAATGGGCCAGGTCAGGTTTTGCTAGGATATGAACAAAGTATAGGGCTGCCCAGGCCCGGCCTATACTGCACCCTGGTTTTAATAACATGCGTCCTGGCCCAAGACCAGGCCCAGACGATCTGGGCCGGGCTGGACGTGCGGGCCGGTGTGCCCACATAAACATATTCAACTTTCAACTTTCAACTTTCAACTATGCTTGGACTTGGCTTGGGATTAGGCCCCCAGTTACTTACGCTAAAACACAATTCAACTTTCATTTATAAACATCTATTATATATTTATTTAAAAAAATATAACATATAAACATTTGATTTTTATATCAAACGTAGCCTTATGTCAATAAAATGAAAAAAAAAAAAAACCAAAAGCGACCAAAATTTTTTAAACATAAAGACTGTAACTTGCCATAAAACAGCAAAATTCTTGCC